GAGCCAGGATGACTCGATCTAGCACTCGATCTCTTGCCTATATTCGCCCCTTCTCATTCTCCTTGGATCTACGAACATGACCTGCGATTCCTTATCCCTGTTCCTACACACTTTGAAGATAGAAACATAAAACTGAAAGAGAAATAAGGCCAGAATATATACAGGATAAACATGGGAATGCCTCCCAAGTGCGCTTTCTTTAACGTCTTTAGCTAGACTTTACTTGGTTTAGGCAGATGGTGGATCTTGGAGAAGCATTGAGGTGCTCTCCTTGTCAAATGCACTCGCCATGTATGGCTTAACTCTGTGTTCGTTCACTGTGAATGCATTCCCACTCTTCCCTACCAACGTGACAGCGCCATAGGGCAATACCTCCTTGATTTCATACGGACCGCTCCTTCTAGATTTCAGCTTTCCTGGAAAGAGCTTGAGCCTTGAATTGTAAAGCAGCACCAAAATCCCTTCCTTAAGCTCCTTGGGTATCAATTTCTTGTCATGAGCAGCCTTAGTGTGCTCCTTGTAGATCCTAGTGCTTTCGTAAGCATCCAGCCTTAGCTCATCAATCTCGTGTAGCTGGATTAGACGCTTCTCCTGAGCCGTCTTCATATCAAAATTCACCCGCTTCACAGCCCACAACGCCCTATGTTCCAACTCAACGGGGAGGTGACATCCTTTGCCGTAGAGAAGAGTGAAAGGAGTAGTACCAATGGGTGTTTTGAAAGCAGTCTGGTAAGCCCACAAAGCGTCATCTAACTTCACTGCCCAATCCTTCCGAGTAGTCCCAACTGTTCTCTCGAGTATGGCCTTTATCTGTCGGTTAGAAACCTCCACTTGGCCGCTCGTTTGAGGATGGTAAGGTGTAGCTACCTTGTGCTTCACGCCATACTTCCTTAGAAGGTTTTCAAACAGCTTGTTGATGAAATGGCTTCCTCCGTCGCTTATCACCACCTTGGGTACTCCAAACCTCGGGAAAATGATGCTTGATCACCACCTTAGAATCGTTTGTAGGAGAAGCAATGGCCTCAACCCATTTAGAGACGTAATCAACAGCTACTAGGATGAACTTGTTGCCGTATGAAGAAGGAAACGGCCCCATGAAGTCTATGCCCCACGCGTCAAAGACGTCTACCTCAAAGATGGGTACTTGGGGCATCTCGTTCCTCTTATTGATATTCCCTGCTCTTTGACAAGCTTCACAACTCATCACGAACTCATGGGTGTCTTTGAAGATGGACGGCCACCAGAAACCGGCTTGCAAGACCTTAGTGGCGGTTTTGAACGAAGCAAAGTGCCCGCCATACGAGGAGCCATGGCAGTGAAATATGATGTCACTTGCCTCCTCCTTTCTCACACATCTTCTGTATAGGCTGTCGACACCTCTCTTGTACAAATAGGGCTCATCCCAATAGTAGTGGCCCACGTCCCTCATGAACTTCTTCCTATGGTAGTTGTCAAGATGCGCTGGCTCTTCCCCACATGCCAAGTAGTTCACAATGTCCGCGCACCAAGGGAGATCCTCCTCTTTGAAGCTCAGAACTTCCTCAAACCGCCCTTCTAGCTTTCCACAAACAGCCGTAGTGATTGCCATGAGTTGTTCCTCGGGGAGAGAATCATCTAAAGGTAGAGACTCGTTGATTCTTAACCGAGAGAGATGGTCAGCAACGCCGGTTTCTATCCCTTTCTTTTCTTTGATCTCCATGTCAAACTCCTGAAGAAGAAGAATCCATCTCAAAAGCCTCGGCTTAGTGTCCTTCTTTGAATAGATGTACCGCAAAGCCGCGTGATCTGTTTGCAACCCACGAGGTATGACCGGAACTTCTCAAAGGCAAACACTACTGGCAATAGCTCCTTCTCCGTGGTAGTGTACCTTGTTTGCGTGTCATCTAAGGTTCTTGAAGCATAGTAAATCACGTGCAGCTTCTTATCTTTTCTTTGACCTAGAACGACTCCCACGGCGTAGTCACTAGCATCACACATAATCTCGAAAGGTAGAGTCCAGTCTGGTGCTTGCACCATAGGCGCGGATACTAGAGCCTCCTTGATGGTCACGAAAGCTTGCAAACACTCCTCATCAAAGACGGAATCAGCTTCCTTGCACAACAGCCGTGTAAGAGGGCGTGCAATCTTTGAAAAATCCTTGATGAAGCGCTTGTAGAAGCCGGCGTGTCCCAAGAAACTTCTCACTCCCTAGACGTTAACCGGCGGCTCGAGACTCATCATCACTTCAACCTTAGCCTTGTCAACCTCAATACCCTTCTCTGATATCTTATGGCCAAGCACAATCCCTTCCTTCACCATGAAGTGGCATTTTTCCCAGTTAAGCACCAAGTTTTTCTCCTCACAACGCTTTAGTACCTTGCAAAGATTCAACAAACACGCAGAAAAGGACGCACCATAGACCGAGAAGTCATCCATAAACACCTCTACCATCTCTTCTATTAGACCGGAGAGGATCGACATCATACACCGCTGAAACATAGCCGGTGCGTTACACAACCTGAATGGCATCCTTGTCTCATCTATTACAAAACTTCGCAGTCTTGCTGTTCTGGTGCTAGAGAAGAACTTTGAGAGGAAAGCCTTCTTACACTCATCCCAAGATGTAATGGTGCCTTGTGGAAGGGTCTTCTCCCAATGTCTAGCCTTGTCTCCAAGAGAAAATGGAAAGAGACGCAGCTTGAAAGCATCTTCGGATATGCTGTTAATCTTGATCATCCCACATACTTGCTCGAAGTTATCAAGGTGCTCCAAGGGGTCTTCTATTGCGAGCCCGTGAAACTTATTGTTTTGCACCATTGAGATGAATCCCGGCTTAATCTCAAAATTGTTGTTCTGTACAGGAGGAGGAGTGATCCCAAACCTATTGTGATGGGTGTTGGGAGCGTCTCCCGCTCCTATTATCCGTGGGGGTCTAGCCGCGTGGTGGGGGTTTCCATTACCCCTTCCCACTGCCCCGTGAACTGGAGGAGGTCCCTCTGGGTGCTCGTGCTCAGCCATCGCCTCAAAATCCACTGAACCTTGCTGAACAATCTCCTCAAAGGCTCTAGCTTGTTCTCGAACTCTTCTTGATCTTGCATTGCCAAGCTGATGAATATTGTCCAAGGGCGTGAGTAGGTTGTTGTCACCCTTGGAACGCAGATTCATGTACCTGAAAGACACAAGTTTGAGAGTAGAGATATCAGTATCAAAAAGAAAAACAAAGGCTTAGTCTTTACTAAACCCCAAATCTCAATGCTTTCTATCCCCTAAGATGGCAACGGCGCCATTTGATAACGGTTTTTATGCGTCTATTGGGGTAATGCAATGCAGGAGGTTATCAAAACTCAAGCAACACACAGTCGTAGTATAATGCAAGAGGAATCAATCCAACTTAGGGCTAGAAAGTACAATGAGAATGCAAGGATCATGCAAAGCTAAGCAAATGATGAACAGTTTTATGAAAATCCTAAAAACTAGATGCAACAGTCAAATGCAAAACAAAACTATTTTAAAAATACTAGAAACGAACTAGCTACCACGAGGAAAAGACAGAATGATTAAAATGCAAAGCTATGAATTACTAAAATTCAACTAGTGGATCAACCACAGGATCGACCACTAGATCGAGCAAAAGCAATCGATCTCGTTTAAAAGTTCAAACAGAAACTAATCTAATGACCAGGATGCAACAGATAACAAGCGAATGATTAACAGAGAAGATAGAATACTAAGAAAGAGGGTCTAGGGTTGAGATTCATGTTCAAGGGTTTCAAAGGTCCAAGCTTGGTTTGAAAACTCTAAATATACTCACTTTGTGAGATTCTCTAAGCCTTGAAAACAAAACAATATCCATCCATGGTGTGTGGTATGGATCACTCCTTCATTCTCTCCTCCAAACCCATGGCATTTGGCGGAAAAAGAGATTGAAGGGCAAAGAACTCAGATTTCAAACACGCGGCTTAACTAGTCCCTTAAACTACCATGGCGTTTGGGAAAGGGTAACTAGTCTCTAGGATACGATTTTCAGAGATCTCTGGATCCTGTCAAGGTAAGAGGCCTCTCTGATCATAAAGATCTTGGCGTGAGAGTCTTTAAGCCTTAAGAACTCGACATCCTAGAAGAGAAAACCATGAAGAACAAGAAAACACCAAACTTTGAAAACCTTTTCGACCCCTTTGAATCCTCTCAACCCCAAAACCCGAAGAGACTACTCGCGACTCATAAAGTAAACCGTACGAAATGCAATAAACGAAGAACTAAACATGAAAGTGATTAATTTAACTTAAACGATCCAATATTCAAAAGCAAAAGAAAGAAAAGCTCGAAGTCTAACAATGGCAAATCGCCTAAAACGAGAGGGATAATAGAAAAGTAGTCGACAGGGTGGAATAATGAAAGGGATCATTGCTTTTTGCTGATCGGGTTGGAAGCTCGATCCGGTCCTCGATCTGCATGGCGTCGTCTGTTTGAAAATCTTTTTATAAGCATTTTAAACCATCTTTTAAATCTCAACAAAAGACTTTATAAATCTTTATAAAAACAATTTTTTAGTTTTTTTTTGTTGGGCCCGTGTTTGGACCTACATTTTCAAACAGTAGATATTCTCTATATTAACTTTTACGCTGGAGTCATTGACAATTAAAACACCATAGTCTTTGGGGTTACATACGCCCTCTTCCTTACCATCAGCACCCGTGTTCGAGCAACCGTGGGGGGTCTCGACTGTTTGAAAATCTTTTTATAAGCTTTTTAAAACGTCTTTTAAATCTCAACAAAAGACTTTATAAATCTTTATAAAAATAATTTTTTGGTTTTTTTGTTGGGCCCATGTTTGGACCTACATTTTCAAACAGTAGATATTCTCTACATTTTATCATACACCTTTTTAAACTTCTTTCAAATCTTTTTAAAATATTTTTAAAGCAGACCCGACCTGACTGGTTACTCAGCCTCATCGACTACACTCATTTCCTGGTTCGGGTTTATAAGCCTTTTGAAATGGTTTTCAAAACATGCTTAAATCAGCATTACAAGTAACAAGTTAGAAGCACCATCCACATTAATAGTGCCCCGACAGAATTGATTCATTCATAATTAAATAAAAAAAGTACGATGCAGTATAGAAATTTTTCAAACATCTCTATGATGTTTGAAAGTTTATTACAACATAGATAGCATTGAGGTCATAAAACAAACGAACTCCTTATTTCCTAGCATATAATATCGTCCACTCAGCAGCTTTTCTATTGAACTTCTCCCTGTTAGAGACATACTCCAGAGTATCCTCATTCACCTTATCAGGAAGGTCCAATCTTGGGGTAAGGAGCATTCCCCAGAGCGTCATTAGGATCTATTTCCAGAAAATAAGAAAGTTTCTTTATTAAATATACTTCACTGCCGGTATTAAAGTTAAATTATAACGAATAGAAGATACAACACAAACATCAGGAATTGTGAAACCAGGAGCCCATCCATTGCCCAACATGTAGAGATACACATCTCCTTTGTCAGAAACATTGGGGTGGAAATTTTTGGTTTTGAATTTGACCTGAAAAATTGAGGAATCCATAAGATTTTAGACATAGACATTGATAGTTGTTGCATAAGAGCAAGAGTTAGTATGAAAAAATTACAGTTGGAGCTATCATTGGAAACCGTGGCAAAAAATTCATGCTAACACGGAATGTTCCTGCACCATAAGGGCTATATTTTGGCCCCATAATTGCAGCTTTCCACTCGAAGAGGCTGTGCACGAGCATACTTGTGACTCATCATTAGGGCATGTTTACCATCGGCAAGCAAGCGCAAAAGTCTTGGATACTATGTTAAGTAATCATTATGATGGAGGGAAGTTTAGATTGCGACCTAAACAGATAATAGAAAAGGCTAGAAAGGATCATGGTGTCGTTATCTCATATTCAAAAGTTTGGAGAGCTCAAGAACATGCCGAAGCGATTGCTAGAGGTACTCCAGAAGATAGCTATGAAGCTCTGCCAAGTTTTTTCCACATGGTAAAGCAAAAGAATCCCGGTCTGCAACCTACATTGAGGTAGATAATGCTGGAAAATTCAAGTATGGTTTCTTGTCCTTTGGCGCATCCACTAGAGGTTTTAAGGTGCTAAGGAAAGTAGTTGCTATCGATGGTGCTTTCTTGAAGGCAAAATTCAAAGGGACTTTGCTTGGTGCCACAGCGCAAGATGGTAACTTTGAATTATATCCCATTGCTTTCGGGATAGTTGACTCTGAGAATGATGCTTCGTGGGAGTGGTTTTTGAGGTGCCTGAAGACTATCATTCCGGACGAGGAAGATCTAGTGTTTGTGTCGGATCATGCACCATCTATTGCGAAAGGTGTTTCGATAAATTACCCACTGCTCATCATGGCATCTGCAGTTTTCATTTTGAGAAAAACATGGAATCACACTTCAAGGACGCTTCTCTTGTGGCTTTGGTTCAGGAGGCAATCAAGGCTTACACGAAGTATGACTTTAATCTTCTGTTCAACGAAATCAAGAATGCTCAACCATTGCTCGCAGATTATCTGGTGAAAGCTGATGTCATGAAATGGTCACGTGCTTATGCGCCTTCCACTCGCTATAACATCATGACATAAAACCTTGCAGAATCGCTTAACTCTTTGTTAACTATCCCTCGCGAATACCCTATAGTGTGCCTGTTTGACACAATTAGGTCTATATTGACAAGGTGGTTCCAGGAAATGCATGAGATAAGGCCACGTCATCCGCACCCTGTGACATTAAAAGTCGGGAAGAGAATGAAGGAATCCTTCGACAGTTCATCACGGTGGCTTGAAGTGTGTCCAATCAATCAGCTTGAGTTTGAGGTGAAGGGTGACAAGCGAAAGGAGGTTGTGAATTTGATGTTAAGGCAATGCACATGTTGTGTGTTTGATATTCAAAGATTTCCGTGTGCTCATGCGATTGCTGTTGCCAAAGCTGCCAAACACAACGAAAATAACTATGTTGATGATTGTTTCTCTAAAGAAAGGTACTATTGCCTCTTTTTTGTCTACGCCTTTATTCTTGATTCAATTTTGTGTTGTTCTGTATAAGTAATCATATTATCTTCTCACAGGTGGATACTAGCATATGCAGAGAGTATTTATCCTGTTGGAGATAAAATTTATTGGGACATCCCTCCTATTGTAGCTAATTTTATTTGTCTTCCACCTTCTATTCGCATACCTAGTGGGAGGCGAAAGAAAAATAGGATTCCTTCTGGTTGGGAGTATGGCAAGTCTTGTACCAAATAAAAAAATTACAAATATGGTAGGTGTGGTCAGAGTGGACACAACAAATCTACATGCATAGCCCCAATCTGAGCTAATCTGTAATTTTACTCTCCTATTAAACAGTATAATATTATTACATTATCATTTTATACGTTATTGTTATTTTTTGTGTTTGTGAGGTTTTGAATGAAAGGACTTGCGGTGTTTTACATTAAAAGTTGGTTATAACTACAAGAGATTCCTATTTCAAACCCCATTTTAAGATTTAAAAAGATTAAGTAACTTTTTATAACCCTTGTTAAATGTTTTTAAACGTAGATTTAAATACCTATATATACAACTGCATACGTAGCAATATCAAGTAAAACACCACAGCCTTGGGGGTTACACACACCCTTTTCCTTACCATCAGCACCTGGGTTCGAGCAACCGTGGGGGTCTCGACTGCTTGAAAATCTTTTTATAAGCTTTTTAAAACATCTTTATAAAAACAATTTTTTGTTTTTTTTGTTGGGCCCGTGTTTGGACCTACATTTTCAAACAGTAGATATTCTCTATATTAACCTTTACGTTGGAGTCATTGACAATTAAAACACCACAGCCTTGGGGGTTACACATGCCCTCTTCCTTACCATCAACACCTGGGTTCGAGCAACCATAGGGGGATCTCGACTGTTTGAAAATCTTTTTATAAGCTTTTTAAAACATCTTTTAAATCTTAACAAAAGACTTTATAAATCTTTATAAAAACAATTTTTTGGTTTTTTTTGTTGGGCCCATGTTTGGACCTACATTTTCAAACAGTAGATATTCTCTATATTTACTTTTACGCTGGAGTCATTGACAATTAAAACACCACAGTCTTGGGGGTTACACACGCCCTCTTCCTTACCATCAGCACCTTGGTTCGAGCAATCGTGGGGGGTCTCGACTGTTTGAAAATCTTTTTATAAGCTTTTTAAAACATCTTTTAAATCTCAACAAAAGACTTTATCTACATTTCAAACAGTAGATACTCTCTACATTTTATTATACACCTTTTTAAACTTCTTTTAAATCTTTATAAAATATTTTTAAAGCAGACCCGACCCGACTGGTTACTCAGCCTCATCGACTACACTCATTTCCTGGTTCGAGTAACTAGGGATATAAAAGTTTTTGTGGATGGGTTTGTAAGCCTTTTTTAATGGTTTTAAAACGTTCTTAAATCAGCATTACAAGTAACAAGTTAGAAGCACCATCCGCATTAATAGTGCACCAACAGAATTGATTCATTCATAATTAAAAAAAATAAGAAAAGTACGATGCAGTTTAGAAAATTTTCAAACATCTCTATGATGTTTGAAAGTTTATTACAACATAGATAGCATTGAGGTCAAAAAACAAACGAACTCCTTATTTCCTAGCATATAATATCGTCCACTCAGCAGCTTTTCTATTGAACTTCTCCCTGTTAGAGACAAACTCCAGAGTATCCTCATTCACCTTATCAGGAAGGTCCAATCTTGGGGTAAGGAGCATTTCCAGAGCGTCATTAGAATCTATTTCCGGAAAATAAGAATGTTTCTTTAATAAATATACTTCACTGCCGGTATTAAAGTTAAATTATAATGAATAGAAGATAAAACACAAACATCAGGAATTGTGAAACAAGGAGCCCATCCATTGTCCAACCTGTAGAGATACACATCTCCTTTGTCAGAACCATTAGGGTGGAAAATCTTGGTTTTGAATTTGACCTGAAAAATTGAGGAACCCATAAGATTTTACACATAGACATTGACAGTTGTTGCATAAGAGCAAGAGTTAGTATGAAAAAATTACAGTTGGAGCTATCATTGGAAACCGTGGCGAAAAATTCATGCTAACACGGAATGTTCCTGCACCGTAAGGGCTATATTTTGGCCCCATAATTGCAGCTTCCCACTCGAAGAGGTTGTCATCCACCGGACCTAAACAAAATCTATTTGAATGAAAGGATTAATGATCTACAACTACAAGATTTGAATGAAAGTTTTCATCAACGGATTAATGATCTACAACAACATAATCTCCGTTTTTTCTGTTTCAATCCTAAAAATTTGAGGAAATCTCAAATATATAACGAGAGAACATGCCATAAAATTATTTTTATACAGAGACGGAGAGAAAAGACACAGAAAGTCATCTCTAACCCACTAGATTCGAACGGGTACAAACCAATGTAAGTGAACCCAACAACTAAAAATACACAAAGGAAACTTCAAAATAGCATATATCTAAAGAAATCAAAACACGAATCCAAACCCAAAGCACCAAATATAACTTATATATCTATATTAAACAGTTTTTAACCAAACCTGCTGAAAAAAGTCAGAAGGACAGTTTTTAATTTGCCTGGTAGCCATCTAGAGATCTTTAAAAGCGGTCGAAGTCGTCATTGTTATCTGTGGAAACAACGGTGCCAAAATAACGGGGAATCAAAATATATATAAACAAGGGACGAAGCGGTGCGTTAAGGGACGAAGTAGTGCAAACGCCACCAAACACCAGAGAAAGTTGTATCTCTTCCCTAGATGATAAGAGAGGAAATTGATTGTTTCAATGCAAATAAATAAAACGATTACCTCTTATCGATACGGTGTCAGTTCTCTCTATGAAGAATCATTGGGGATTTTTTTTTATTTTTACAAACATATATTCTTTATAAGCAATTAGAATCACTGATATGACAATTAAAACACCACAGCCTTGGGGGTTACGACTGCCCTCTAGTTTACCTTCAGTTCTCTGGTTCGAGCACCGAAAACAGTTTTAATAAATATTTTAAAACTTCTTTTAAATCTTTTATAAATTGCACCATCAAATTTATAAGGATTTAAAAGATTAATTATAAATCTTTTAACATCGTTCATATAATCCATCATGTTCGACAAAACACAATTGGGCTTTCAACATGAAGAATTACCTTTTAAAACTTTTTTAAAATCTTTTTTAAATTATAATTTATTTATAATCCACAAGAGCGTCTTAGATTTTTCTGGGCCCGTGTTTGGGCCTGCATCATAACCAGAGCAATATCCAAAGTGTATTCTCTTTATAAGCAATTACACTAGAGGCTATGACAATTAAAACACCACAGCCATGAGGGTTACACACGCCCTCTAGTTTACCATCAGTACACTGGTTTGAGCAAAACGGGGTTCACATAATTCTATTTCGTTATATGTGATTCAATCCACAGCCTTCGGGTTGTCTCGGGCGTATTTTAACCCCCAAACATTTTTTATAAACATTTTAAAACATCTTTTTAATCTTTATAAATCTTTATAAATCTTCATAAGCTAATTTATAAATATTTAATAAAGCAAATATTAAAGATACAGAAAGTAAAGAGTCTGTTTCAAAAGCCATTACATGGCCAAAAAAATAGAGGAAAAACCCAAAGAAGAAGCTACAAGTTTTTGAGCTGAAGAAATTTTAAAACAAACGAGGAGAAACAGTTTCATACTCTAGCCTTTTTGTTTCTCATAGAGCTTCTACGATAATCCCCTTTCAGTTTTCTCTTTGACTTATTGCTCTCACTAGGTGACTGAAGCGGTAACTCATCTGCAGCGGCATCGTTGAGTTGGTTATCTGAAGAAGATCCATCAAATATCTCACAAAATAAGTCCACCGCCAGCTGAATTCTCAGTTGTTCAATATTGGCAAGGCAGAGACTAGACAGGTCTGTCATCATACTCGCACGGCTCTCTATGAACTTGAAAGTATATAAACCTGTGTCCTGGAAATTGCTTACCTAAAGTAAAACATTGGTGATTAGTCAGCCAAGAACTTATAGAAAACATAGTCGTTTTTTGAGTAACATACCTTGGGTATTTTTGGTTGCTTTTTAATAGTGAATTCTTTAGAATATCTCGCACCTTTTACAAACCTCTTCAAAAGCACAGGCATTATTTGTGCATATGGGATTACCGACGTCTCATAATATGATAATCTGTCCGGGTATCTATCGCTGTCCCATACGCTTACCGACCCTTTCTTCAAGTCAAATATCACGGCAACCCACTGTTTATCATGCCAATATTTTGGCGCATAGATATAGTCTATGTCTTTGATCATCTTCTTCCCTTTATTGCCAATAGCCGGCAATGTACCATTGATGTAGCCTTCAACGCTTTTGTTGTCGTAGTTGTACCACTTCTGACCCAACCGCCATCTTTCCCAGCATTGTTTGAGTGTCAAAAGGAAATGTTCTCCATAGATGGCAACTCTACTGTTTGCAAAAATCTTGGGACTATTTTTTCTCCTTGTTCGAAGCAAATGCATAGCAGAATCCATATGCTGCAACGAAACAAAAAATATAACTTTTTACTTTTAAACTATAAATGTGTACTATCAAAGATGACAGAGTGAATGAGATTGCAATAAGTTTATATCACAAGCAGAAAGAATTATGGCTAAACTAAATTTTGGCAGATGTTTAAAAATGGAAGTTTAAAAACCAGTCACCATTTACTTCTAGTTTAAATGAGATTTCAAATTCTAGTTTTACCTGTCTGGTCATTACAGTCCCTGGTGTCTGGAGGTTTAAAAACCAATCACCATTTACTTCATGTCCAAAAAAATCTTTCAAGATCCTATATTTTAAAAGATATTTGTAAATCTCTCCATATTACTAAGCTAAACATATATGAAAACTTTACTTACCTCTGGTTAGTTGCATTCTTCCATTCATCCAATCTTGATTTCCTTGATAGAAGATATGGCTGGATTGGGTGGAATATTGGATGAGCTCCACCTTGTTCCAACTGAACGGTAACATCTTCATCTGTCAGCGGTGGTCGCAAAGTAAATCCATGGCGGTTGGAATCGTGACTTTCATCACCTTCATCATCTTTGGGATTTTCTGTACAACAAAACAAGAACAAATTTGCGTGTTTTTAAAGTTGGTTTTAAAAAATAACATATTCACATGACATAAATTATTATTTACCAACAACAATATTGGTAGCCTCACCGTTGCCACCATGATTTTCATCAATATCGCTAATATTAATAGGAGCATCAACATTGCCAGTACGATCTCCATCATTTCCATTTGTATCATCCTTATCCTCACCATGATCTTCAACATTACCGTCTCTATCGCTAATATCAATAACATCATCTCCAGGATCTTTTGCAGCATTGCTATCCTGACCATCTTCAGGATCTTTTCCGTCATTGTTATCCTCACCATCCTCAAGATCTTTTGGATCATTGTTATCCTCACCAACTTCAGGATCTTTTTTCTATAAATCATAAAACATATTGTCAAAGCCCGGAAACTAACTGAACATTTTTAAACGGGTTTAATAGATGCTTTTTTTTTTTACCTCTGCTGCCTTAATCCCCATAAAAGCTTCTATGGTCTCCACTTAGCCAATCAAGGCTTTAAGCATCTCCATCATCTTGTTAATTTTGTCACTGTCAGTCACGAGAGGAGCCTCACATGTTGTTCTACTAGGCTCCGCTCGTCTGTTATGTTTTGTCCGTATTTGTTCAGATGCTAAAACACCATCTACTTTTCCCTCTATCCACTCGGATCTGCTTAACCTATAGCCTTGCATTACAAGTTGCACCACCGTTGCAAAGTCTTTGTCAATGGGATTTGTCGGTGCAACCAGATTCTTATATTCCTCTGGATCCCCAATAACAGTATTGACTATAACCAGCAATCGCATAGCAAATACATTTATAATAGTATAATTAAACCAAAGTAAGCAATATTGAAAAATTTCATAACATGAAACTTACATCTCGTTGATTGTGCACATCCAAAACTTCTGAAATATTAGGAGTCTGAGTGGCTTTCCACTGCAAACACAATGGGCCTGCAGACGAGCCTGAATCAAATTGACTCCCAAATGTAGTACCTAGTGCATGCACAGCCAACAAAGCCCACCACGTGATTGCCCATATGAATCCTTGCACTTCATACAGAGGTTTTGCAAATGTTTTTGCTTTCATCCTCCGTATACTAGCAGATAGGACATCGTATCCCATCTTCCCCCAAGGTCTCACAGAGTATCTATCTAAATTCGAAAACATTTGCAGACTCTCTCGCGGCACCTTTATCATTGGATTCTTGGCGATTATAATCCCATGAGTCAATATAGCAGCTCCAAGAGAAAGTCTCTCCTCAGCAGACATTCTGTACGCATTGTTTTCCAGCAGCTGCATCAAACCTTTCACAGTGTACTTATCCTTTTTCCCCAACATCCAATGATAAGCCTTTCTCACTAGCCTGTGTGTTGGGTTTTGTTTGGGTTCGAGTTCTTCTGGTTCTGGCTCCCAACAACACAATCCAGTGATTAGATAAAACTCTCTTAGGGAAAATCTCATCGGCTGGTCTGCAAATGAAAACCACAAGTCTTCTCCCTCTATCAAAATTCTTCTTTGCATAAGAAAGTCAAAGATCTTTCCAGAAAACTGAATGTCCTCTCTCTTTGAGAGCTTGACAATCGAGCTGAGATAAGAGTTTTCGATTTTGGCGAACAGTGTTTTTCCTAACACCTTTTCGACTCTTTGCTCCAAGTTGAAGCTCGGGTGTTGCATGATTACACCCACTTTGTCTGGTTCAGTCCCAGACTTATATATCCTTGGAGGCAATTTAGGTGTCGTATGCACTTCATCTTCCATCATCTGCAAATTTTTTATAAAAGCAATATTAGAGCAAACGGAATAATATAAAGGAATCATATTCTATTAAAAACCAAACTTTGTTTGCTTAATCTATCACTTAAAAACGATTCCACATACTAAACTGTTAGCCAATTGAAACTTATGGAAAAAACCACAACTTTTTCTAGAGACTAAAAACTTTATTTTTTTATTTACCCAGAACTGATAACCGAGCAAATTGACGCAAAATTGGTGAACATATATTCATAAAGCCTTATAATTTATTATAAATCTGTGCTCACAATACAATAAAATTAAATCTCAACTACAAAACTAGGTTTTCCGGGAAAGAGAGAGAGAAAGAGCGATAGACAGACAAAAATAGACCGCGAAAGATAGAGAGCCAGAGTAAGAAGGAGACTAAGAGCGATTGAACAAACTTTTGACGATTTTTACAGATTATCTGAGATACGTTTAGAGAAGAAGGGGAAAAGTTTTAGCTTTTTTTTAATTTTGGCAAAAAAATTTAAGCCGTATACAAACACAATGGGGTGTGGGGTATCAGTTAGGGAATTAAAGATTTTTATTAAATAATCTGTATTAAAACAATTTTTGGATTTTTTGTTGGGCCCGTGTTTGGGCCTACAATTCAAACAGTAGATATTCTCTTTATTACCTTTTACGCTGGAGTCATAGAGAATTAAAACACGCCCTCTTCCTTACATCAGCACCCGGGTTCGAGCAACCGTGGGGGTCTCGACTGTTTGAAAATCTTTTTATAAGCATTTTAAAACATCTTTTAAATCTCAACAAAAGACTTTATAAATCTTTATAAGAACAATTTTTTGTTTTTTTTTGGTTGGGCCCGTGTTTGGACCTACATTTTCAAACAATATTAACTTTTATGCTGGAGTCATTGACAATTAAAACACCACAGCCTTGGGGGTTACACACGCTCACTTTCTTACATCAGCACCCAGGTTCGAGCAACCGTGGGGGTCTAGACTGTTTGAAAATCTTTTTATAAGCTTTTTAAAACATCTTTTAAATCTCAACAAAAGACTTTATAAATCTTTATAAAAATAATTTTTTGTTTTTTTTTGTTGGGCCCGTGTTTGGGCCTACATTTCAAACAGTAGATATTCTCTATATTACCCTTTACGCTGGAATCATTGACAATAAAACATCACAGGCTTGGGGGTTACACACGCCCTCTTCCTTACCATCAGCACCCGGGTTCGAGCAACCGTGGGGGTCTCGATTGTTTGAAAATCTTTTTATAAGCATTTTAAAACATATTTTAAATCTTAACAAAAGACTTTATAAATCTTTATAAAAACAATTTTCTGTTTTTTTTTTGTTGGGCCCGTGTTTGGGCCTACATTTTAAACAGTAGATATTCTCTATATTACCTTTTTACGCTGAAATCATTGACAATTAAAACACCACAGCCTTGGGGGTTACACACGCCCTCTTCCTTACCATCAACACCCGGGTTTGAGCTACCGTGGGGGTCTCGACTGTTTGAAAATCTTTTTGTAAGCATTTTAAAACATCTTTTAAATCTTAACAAAAGACTTTATAAATCTTTATAGACATTTTAAAACTTCTTTTCAATGTCATCCAACAAAATTTATAAAAATTTATAAAGATTGAAAATGATATTTAAGAACCTTTATAAAATGGATAACTAAACAACAATGTTTTTGTGTCGTCTGAGTGGCATAATGTTCCAAACACCATCAAACTAACACACTGAAGCAATGACCATTGGACTCTTTTAACCATAAATTTTGATATTGCAGTCTAGCATAATAAGAAAAAAATCAAACTTATGATTTCAAACAAGAAAGGGAATGTCTCTTAAAAACCAAACAACCGCTCCTTTGTGCATCTTTGCTCCATCTCCTGTCCCTATACACAATTAGATTTACAATTTTTAGATTTTTTTTTGTCGAATGCTTTAGAAAAGATCATTCTCTCATTTTTTACCTTACTTGTCAAATTACGGTGCTAATAACTCTGAGAAGAGATCAGCAGCATGCTTCAATCTTATATCCCCGATATTTCCTTCAGAAAGCTTCGTCAAGTCCTTGATGCGCATCGAGTGGCACTCTATTAATTTCAATACGAAAACGCCTGTCTTTGCTATTTTAGCAACCCGATACAAAAGAAGAAGACAAATAAATATAACGCCATATTCAAAAGTTTATGAAAACATGATGACATTTATTTTCAAACAAACACTTAACCTGTGGTACTTCTTTTGACTATATTTGAATACTGAATGGAGAGGTAACCATCGTGTCATCCTTAGTAATTTGGCGAATGATGTAAGGAATTGTGTGTGTATACGCGCCAATGTATGTATTGACATGTTCTTCCGAAATCTTTGATGCTGCACAGTTCAGTACGTTTATCTTCCTCTTCTCAAGATGAAAGATCAATGCAATCCAGCATTTATACTTGATCTTCAACGGCGCGTAGATAATGCAGATGTTTTTCTCTATGCCATGAGTGGTGAATTCAGTCCCGAATTGAAACCCGTCCTTGTCATCTGCAAAAATATCATAAATCTCGTCTATTGCTTTCAAGAACGATTCATCAACCATCAAAGCACTTTTTTTCAAAAACAAAATGAGGATTTTGTTTCTTTCGCATCCTCAATAACTCCAAAGCTGCTTCCATGTGCTGTATGACAAAAACAGACAATTTTTTAAGATGCTCCAAATTTCAAGAGAAAACATTGTTTCGAAGGACTAAAATGTCTATAAACTTACCGCTTTCGTAAAAGCATTTCCTGATGTATCCAGCGTGGTAATCCACTTTGGATCTACGGTGATGTCATTAATTTTAAGTGGCCTGCATTAAGAGTAGACAGTAATCGTTACAAACATGGCATCACATCTTTTATATAGCTTACGAAAACTATGCTTACAAATTTGACTGTTTCCATTCCTTTATTTTCTCCATTCGCATCTTATCAACCGGCTCAAAAGGATGAATTAACAGATGTCTTTTCCTTGCTCCCGTGTAAGGTGGTTGTGTAAGAATCGAAGGCACCTGTCCTCTCTGGCTTCTTCTTTTTTGGTATTGGTTCAACTTCCTAAAACGCACAAACCATTTCGATGTTTAAAAAGCTGGAAAAACTTGTAACTTAATCATATTATACAGGGAATCAACTCGTTTACCTCTGTGTATCCTTCTGCAGCTCGTTTCTTATTTTTCGTCACACTTTGTAAATCGGATAAATCTCTTTGAAAATTTGTTACATTTGCTTCAATACCCTAGTCAAAATTGAGAATTTTTAAAACTTTTAGAATCAGTAGTACTAGTTAAATAAATCCCAGAAATAATTTGGCAAAAAGTCTTCAATTACCTCCTCATTGTCTTTGTCATCAGCTCTGTGTCTGCTAGTATCACCTACATTGTCATTATTTATGCTGTTTTGTAAACTGTCTTGGGAAAAAAGGATTGAATCTTGGTGTAATAGGCGATGAAACCTATACAAGCATTACAAAAGAGATGAGATATAGCACTCGATTTATCAATGGAACACTAGCTTAAGTTAAAAAAATATAACAGATTTGCGTTTCTACTTTACCTCAGGGGTTTTTTTCTCACCACAATCTGCAGTTGCCGTACGGATATATCATTATTACAGCCATTTGAAGCTTCATCGTCGCCAAGTTTTTGTGTACTTTGAAAAATTACTTTTGTATCTTCATTGAATCCAACAGAAAAACATAAACCAACTAGCATTATAAGAAATTAATTATTGGATTCAAACAAGGAGTAAAGATGAATCATCTTTACCTTCAACAACGGTTGTTGTTTCCTCGCCCTCAAGATCTTGTGTTTCTTGCACCAAAACTTCTGTTTCTTCATCGCCAATACCAACAGAACTAGCATTTTTAGCATTAACACCACCAACAAAATCAGCTGTTTCTTCAACAACACCATGTTTTTGTGTATTATCATCATCGGCAGCATAACTGTCATCTGAATTTACTTCACGCCGAGAATTCTCTGACTCTGTATCTTTCTGCACGCCATCTTCAGAGACATTTTCATTTTCCTATAAAGAAAAGAATCAAACAATGCTCAATCGTCAGAATCAAACATCTTTATAAATATTTTTATACTGTCTATTTTTTACCTCTGATCGCTTACCATCTGCTTCGTTTTCTTCTGGAATCTCAAAGACTTGCTGGATGATCTTCACTTTCCTGGTCAAGATCACAAGCATATTGAGTATCTTATCAAGTTTTTGACTGTCAGTAAAAGGAGGAGAGTCTGGGGTTATTGTAGGCTCTTCGTTTCTTGCTTGCTGTGTCAATATGTATTCAGATGCAGTAACAACATCTAACATGCCGCTTATCTAGTCGGCTCTCCTCAATCTGTAACCTTGCCTGACTAGTTTCACAACCGCTGCAAAGTCCTTGTTAATAGGATTCGTTGGTGGAACCAGATTCTTATATTCCTCTGGATTTCCAACAACAGTATTGACTATAACCTGCAAACGCATAGCAAATACAATTTTTTTGTAAAGCTTTATTATTGCATCGAAAAGAGTATGTACAATCAAATAAACTGAGAATCACTTACATTGTTTATCTGCTCTACACGAAAAACTTCTGAAATGGAAGGAGTCCGAGTGGCTTTCCACTGTAAACACAACGGGCCTGCAGACGAGCTTGAATCAAATCGACTCCCAAATGAAGTACCTAGTGCTGGCACAGCCGATAAAGCCCACATCGTGATTGCCCATACGAATCCTTGCACTTCATAATGACCTCTCGCAAATGTTTTTGCTTGCATCCTGCGTATACTAGCAGATAGGACCTCGTATCCAATCTTCCCCCAAGGATGCAAAGAGTAAGTATCGAAATTTAAAAACAATTGCAGACTCTCTCGCGATATCTTTACCGTTGGATTCTTTGAGATTATAATCCCATGGGTCAAGATAGCAGCTCCAAGAGAAAGTTTCTCCTCAGCAGACATTTTGTTCGCATTGTTTTCCAGCAGATCCATCAAACCTTGCACAGTGTACTTATCTGTCTGTCCTAGCATCCACTGATATGGTTTTTTCAACTTCATGTGTGATGGCCCTGTTGTTTGGTTCGGGTTCTCCTCTGGTTCACAACAACGCAAGCCTGTGGTTAGGAAATACTCCCTGAGTGAAAATCTCATCGGCTGGTCTACAAATGCAAACCACAAGTCTTGTCCTTGTGTCAAAATTCTTCTTTGCATCAGGAAGTAGAAGATCTTTCCCGAAAACTGAATGTCCTCTCTCCTTGCGAGTTTGACAATCGGGTTGAGATAAGAGCTTTCGATCATACGCAACTCCCAATCTCCAAAAAGCTTTGTGACTTTATCCACATAGAGTAGGTTCGAATGTTGCAGGACTACAATGGTGCTCTTTGGTTCTGTCCCGGGTTCATATATCCGTGCAGGCAATTTCAGTGTTGTATCGAATTCTTCATCCATCATCTGCAAAGTTTTATAATAACAATCTGTTTTAAATCAAATCTTGAAGTACATTCGAATGTAAATTAAACGGAACAGTGTTATTATCTATTCGAAACAAGATGAATAAAATCTTTATAAAGGCTTAGAAATCTTTATAAATCGACAACCACAAATGTTAGGAAAATGGAGACTTAGGGAAAGAGATATAGAGAGAAAGAGAGAGAGAGAGAGAGAGAGAGAGAGAGAGAGAGAGAGAGAGAGAGAGAGAGAGATTTATAAAGGCTTAGAAATCTTTATAAATCGGCAACCACAAAGGAGTTAGTGAACCAAATCGGAATTGCAAGAAAAAACAAAGGGTGGTGATTCACAATTCACGAGTCACATATCTTTCAAAATCGGTAACTACAGCGAAACAAATCACAGATTTAACCAAAAACAAATTTGTGATTAACAATTGGTGAATCATAAATCTTCAAAGTCGTAACAACAATGGATTCAGCGAAACAAATCACAGTTTAAATGAATAAAATAACGAATCACATACCTTTTTCTGAGTAAAACAAATCTGAATTTTCCGATCTCGATTCGCGGATAGTTGTTTCGCCAACTATGTCGACTCAAGAAGAAAAGTATTAAGAATGACCTAGGGATATTTTCTACAACTCTCTCTCTCTCTCTCTCTCTCTCTCTCTCGATCTCTCTCTCGACTCATTATCAGAATTTTCCGATCATGATTCACAAACGTCGTTTCGCCAACTTGATCTCTCTCTCTCGACTCGCCGATGACTTTTGATTTTCTAATGACCTAGGGATAAACTTGTCATTTCAATAGTTAAATAATTGTATTCATAAAAAGGTTCACCTTGTTGTAGTATTATTATATAGTGGTACAATGAAAGGTGTACTTTTAAAATTTTCTCTACAAATAATTCAATCAGTAATAAATTTAGATACAATTAGTTAATTAAAAATATTTCATTAATTTAAACTTTTTCCAAAATTTAATATACAATAAATAATATTTAATATTTAATATAATATAATTGTGAGCTAATTGGAAATTTATTAATAATTTTAATCAAAATGCAATCTATTGAGTTTGATAAATGTTAATAATAAAATTAATTTAATTTATGGTGCATTCACTAATTTAATTTAGATCTAAGTAATATTACTGATTAGTAATCTATTAATTAAATTTTTTTTTTCAATTGAGATATACATATTCAAAGATTTCGAGTATAAACAGTAGTGACACTTTTTCTAATAAGTCTTCAATGATTAAAATTTATTTAGCGTAAAAACAATATATAAGATGCAAAAATTTATATTTTAACTTACATCAATATTTTTATACAAGCTAATTATATTAAATTTAATATATCGCATCATTTTCTATATAATCAATAATAGCAAAAGCGCATCAAAACTCTAACCATGTTTATGATATCTTAAATTTAATATTTCAATTTACTATGTATACATTATACTTCCAACTTACATTTATCATTTATTCAATTATTCATATATACAATGAAATCAAATTTGTTGCATATGAAAACTTTGGTTGGATGAGTATTGATGGTTTACTCATATTAATATTGTGATTGTGAAAACTCAATTTCGACTTATAATAGAATGAGAGTTTGTGGGTTTAAGGAGAGATCTTTATTAAGTTTAAGCCGGAGCTCGAGAGATACACGGTTGTTTAGGTCGTCGGAATAAGAACGCCGGCCTAAACTGTTTATGGAAATAAAATCAAGAACTAGGAACAATAAGATTGCTTAGTTTGCCCTAGGTCTCGAGAGGCGATTTTTGGATGTTTAATAAGAAACAGCTGAACCTTGAGAAAGGCTGCCTACGTACCCTTTTGAAGGGATCAAGCCAATCGTAGTTCATAATAAGAGAGTTAGATAGATGAAATCTAGCGAGAATAAGATCTTCTCCAAGTGTGGAGATTCTTGGATGATTAGAAGATTTTCTAAGAAGTGAATGACTTCTTTATTTATAGCCCGATCTCTCTCTCTCTCTCTCTCTCTCTCTCTCTCTCTCTCTCTCTCTCTCTCTCTCTCTCTCTCTCTCTCTCTCTCTCTCTCTCTCTCTCTCTCAGTTGTAATTCCTCAATAATATATAGATTTGTTGTTGTTGTGTTTCTTTTGTTCAACAGGGCTTCCCATTGCTTTCATTACTTTTCTCGTGTACGAAAAGAAAGAGCAGGAGATAGACTCGATAGTATTGAGTTTTAAATCTTTCGTATCCAAGCAGAAATCAGATGTGTATGAGAAACTGTTCGGAAGCGAGAAACATGACTAAGAATCATTCCTCTCTGCGCAGCATTTGTACTGTTCTTTTGTTTCCAACGACCTGTCCCTCTGCTCTGGTTTGAACCTTTTTTTTTCTGAGGTACATTGTTGTTTTGGCTCTCTTCTACTCAGTTCTGGTGGTTTTGTTTCGATGAATATTATTTACACGTGTTTGCATTGTTTAGCAATAAAAATAATGGAAATTAAAAAAAAAATTACACTAACTCGATAAATTAATAATATTAAAACTTTATTATTTTATAAATTTATTAGTTTTGGATAAATGTTTTTTTTTTAATAATTAATTAAAAATAATATTTTCTTTCAATTTTATATTATTTTCTAAATTTTTATTATAAAATTAGAGATAAATAATAAAAATGTTTCAATTTTAATATGAAAAAACAACAATATACTCATATTTTAATAGATTATTGTTGGAGCTGGATTTGACACCCCAAATCCGGTCCACTCAAGTCTAATTAACAGGTCCATACTAAACCAAAGTGACTAGGTTTCAACCCTGTGGTCCAGGCCCATTCACCTTTCAACAACTCAATCCTAAGCAACAAGACGTTTCGATCAGCGAGGTCGAGCTCCAGTTGGACTAAA